ATATGTATTTTATAGGTTTAAAGATATATTAAAGATTAAGCTATTTAAAGAATTATCAAAATAGATAATATGTAAAGACTCTGGGATTAATTATTATTTTAATGAGATGTTGAAATAATAAAATTCAATTATATGTAAAAAATTATCAGGATTAAGTTTAGTAAATAATCTGGCAATCTGTTTTTTTACAATTTATATATAGATATTTAATTGGGATCAAATATGATATTTAAATTAATATGTAATAAAACCTAGTTTATTGTTTGAATCATCCTAATTCATTGGTAACTCATATATGCATAGGACTACATCTATGCCAAAGAAAACTTTGCTCAGAATGTTAATATCAACATTAAAAGATTATATAGGATCTTTAATATTTTAATATGTCTCTTGATTTTTAAAAATAAGTTTTGATCTTTCATTTTGATAAATCTTATCTACCTGTAAAAGGAAATTAAATACTTCCTTTGTAGACTCTTAAAAATAAACTTCAAGAAAATATAGAGAAATTCTAATTAAATGATCCAATTCGACTTAATAGAGCTAAACAAGAACTCAAATAAGCAATTTCTGAAATACAATAAACATTCTCCTCTTTGATCGAAGAGATGATTGAATCTTCTAAACAAATATTTCAAGAGATCGAAAAAATAGATAAATAGTTTCTAGATTTGTTAAGTTCAAACATTGAAGAATCTAGTAATTCTAATCTTTATAATATATCTGAAATTCTATAATTGAATCATCTCAATTTATGGTAATAACAAAAACAATATTGCTATTAAATACTTTATGAAAACAAATATAATCTAATTTAGGAATGTGAAAGTACAGCTTTTAAAATGAGAGAAAAAATAAAGACAATAAATTCTGAATAAATAGGGTAAAAATTAAATCTATATAAAGATTTAATGTCTTTCAAAATTCTAAATTATTAGGAATTAATCATGGGGATTTTATATATATAAATAATGAAACAATCTCAAAGGTAATCACTTGATAATATTTTAGCAAGGAATTATGAAGTTAAATTAAAGAGTAGGCTTAATTGACATTTTAGGGTTTTCTTAAAATGAAAATACATTAAAAGCCTTTTAAATTGAGTTTTAACAAGGAAAATTATGTTATATAGCAGATGGAAAGATATTAAGGATGTATATATTTATTATGTAATTAGTGAGATTTATAATGACTAAAATTCTATTAAAGAGATAATTACAAATTATGATTAATTATGTAATTTAAAATGGAAAGGAGAAGAAAATGAAACTAAATAAAAAATTGCATTTTGGAATGCTTATTGGGGAAAATAAATTCTAGAATTAAATGGATTATATGATAAATATGGAAGGAAATAGTACTTTTGGATTGAACCATGTAGCAACTATAGGTTACTTAAGGAATTTAATCTAGTATTCAACTTCAAATAGTTTATGCAGGACATTATAATTATGGGAAGAAATAAGGAAAGTGGAAAATAAAGAAGAAAAATTCAAAAGAATTTGTTACAATGTAATTTTTAAATTATATAAAGTGGTGGAGGAAATTATAATGAATTAGGTGTGAAAGAAGGATAATGGATAGAATTATGCGATGAAATATTACCTTAATAAAATCAATTAATAATTGATATTGGGAAATATAAAGGTGGACATAAGGTGGGATGTTGGAAAAAATATATCTATGAAGAATCAATTTTTACAAAAAATAAATTAATGTTTGTATTTAGTTTATTTTTAGTGGTGGAGGAGAATTTTAGTTGGGAATTAAAAACGGGAAATGGAAAGAAATTCATTATTGTTATAAAGAGTAATTATTGTTATTAATAAAATATATAGAGAATTTTAAGTCATTTTTGTTGGTTATTATAAAAATGGATTAAAGATTGGTAAATGGAATATTCATATAAAGGAAAATGATGAATAATAATTAACTATGTAAAGCATTAATTTGATTATATTATAGAGGAGGCACTTATGATAATTTAGGTTAAAAGAATGGATGTTGGAGTGAATTAAGTAATTGTTTTCATTAATCTCATTTCACTATTTTTAATGGATATTATAAGAATGGAATAAAGTATGGAAAATGGATCATATAACATAAAATGAAACAAAGCAATTAAATTGAAATAATGTAATTGAAATTTAATAAAATTTATAGAGGAGATGGTGAATATAATGCACAAGGATTAAGGAATGGAGATTGGATTGAAATATTTTAGAATTATGATTAGTAAAATAATTATTTTATTAGATATGCTTAAATAACATTTAAAGGAAAATATATAAATGGATTAAAATAAGGATAATGGGATATATTGTATTAAAATGATAAAATGTATATTTTTAATATTAGAATTATTAGTGGTGGAGGTAATTATAATAAAGATGGAGAAAAATAAGGAAAATGGACAGAAGTTCATGAAAATTTTAATTTATAGAAATTTAACATTTTGTTTGAAGGAAAATATATGTAAGGGAAAAAATAAGGATAATGGAAAATGATAATATAATCTAGAGAGGAATAAAAAGAATAAATGTATTTGATCTTTCTATAGAATAGTTGTGGTAGTTATGAATAAAATGGATTGAAAAGTGGAGAATGGATTGAAATCAACTAAAAATATGAATAATTCAATGTTGTATATTAAAATGGTATTCAAAATGATGATAATGAAAAATATTAAGATATTTAAATATGAATAATAGTTAAAGTATTTGATAAAGTTATTATGATATTTTAATTATAAGAAAATAAATTAATTTAAATAACAACATATTTAGTTTATAGTATCACAATTATAGATATCTGTAATTTAAAGGGATTTCTAAATTGATAAGATATTTTTTTTCAAACATTGTATTGATTTAAGACCATATGATTTCTTTAATTTATCACATTTCATTATTTCTTCATTAAAATCCTAATCAAAATGAGTTTGGATTTCCTTCCTATTCTAAACACAAATAAATATTAAATATTATTTATTAAAATTTATAATAATTTTAATTTCTATAGGAATGTAAGATATCTACTAAATTTGTCCATAAATATCTAATGATTTATCATAATTTTCATTTTCTTCTAATTACCTTTTCTAATAAATTATCGCAAAAAATTGTATAACAAGGGCATAGAGTAACAAGGATCCAATCAAACAATCATCAATTGTCAACTATTATTTCTTAAAATATTTATTAATATATTACTCCTTTACCCATTATGAATTTAGTCTTAAACATTAAATAAAATCCATAGATTATACTGAATAATGCACATTAAAATTATTCTAATGCGAACTCAAATCTAATCAATGATTTTATGAAGACCATTAACATGGCAGTGCCAATAATTAAAATTGCACCATCTATAATTTGAAATTATGAATACCTTTGAAAGGAAATTCGCTTTTATTTACATATACATAAAAGGTCATTACAGAAATTAAAAGAAAAGTATCTCCCCATACTAATAAAACAGTTGTGATTCCCAAACTTAAAGCCATAAATATGCATATGGTAGTCAATTTAAATCCAAAAAAAATCATATATAGAATAAAAGATACCTAATGAAGAGGAGCCTAAGGTTAGTAATATATTTCTTACTTTTCTTGCAGTTTATACTCCAAAATAACATGTAAATTATAATTTAATCAAATAATTAAAGACAAATAGAATAACCAAGTAGGCGTGGTATGATTTTTACAACTCGCTACTCCATTGCTCTTACACTAATTTTATTTAAAACGTTCATAATTGCACTCAATTGGTCCAGGTAACCAACAGTCGAAATTCATATTCACAAACCAATTAAGCATTTCTGTGTATAATCCTAATGCAATCATACCATAATTTATAAAGAACTCAATTGTCAATAAAATGTACACTTTCTTTAGAAAATAAACTCTAACTTAGACATTTTAACATTTAATATATTCTAAATAATTTAAACATAGATACATTGAAATTAATCCATCTTCTAAGCATTTTCATCTTATGTTTCAAATGGTGAGGGATTCTCATATTATTTTAAAGTATCCTTATTTAACAAATAATTATCTTGGCTATAATTATTGTTCATTTTATTGAAGATAATAAAAATATTAAGTTGTTTTATATAAATAAAAGATAAATATATTTATTAAACTATTCCATATTTTTATTTTGAATGTATTTTAAATTTTATAAATTAATTTAAATTTAAATTATACTACATTTCAAATCTATAGATTCATTATTATTAAAATATCAAATCGAATATTAGAATACGATCATAAAATTATGATGTTTGATGATAACTTTTTGAGAGAGTTGATAATTTGGCAATTTAATTTTTTTAATTTGGATAATTTAGAATGTATTTAAAAGTAAAAATGATGATATAGGTATGAGAATAACCTTAATTTTAAATTTTCTCATAAAAATAAGTTAATTTAAATCATAAAAAGAATGATCATAAAATTGAGAATTTAGTTTTTGTTCGAACTTCTTAACCCAATATAGATTAATTTAATGTTAATATTGCTTTTTTATAGAATAAAAATAACATTAATTATCAGTATTCCTTGTATCTAATTTAATTCTTAGAAGATGTTTTCTATTTTATAGATTAAATTTCTAGTTTATTTTCAAATGATCAGTAATTTTAAGAAGAAAACAATTACCATTAACTTAGAATTTTTAATGTAATGAAGGAAACTTTTGATACTAAATCTATAAACAAAGATATTATTTGGAAAATTAATTAATTTATTATGGAAATAGAATCTTCTTTGTTCTATCCTAAAGATTTTATCGACTATTTTGGAAATAGCCATTTCTAAAAAATAAATAGATTTTAAATTAATTAAATAATTTAAATATTATGGATATATAATAACAAATTATTCCTAATAGATAGATTAGGATATTAAAATAACAATATTTAATTATTTTTATTTACCAAATTACTTGATATTGGCATAAAATAAGCCTAATTACTACTTAATTTATAATATGAAAGAAAAGTAAATATTATAAATTTAGAATTCATAAGCATCATTTATTGAATGCATTAATTACAATAATTAAAACTACTTATTTTTTTATGATTAATATTTGAAAATCAATAAATATCTTGTCTTAGAACAATAAAAATTTTGTGATTGTTAAATTTTCAAGAATTTTTCTTATTTAGATAATACTATTTAAGTAATCAAATGTTATAATTAAATTGAAAGGAAATGGAAACACTCAATTAAGCATTTTTAAGGATTTATCAATCATAGAAATATTAAAAATTTTCATTTAAAAAAAATTTAAACTTCAATAAATCAGAGCATCAAGAATGAACCGTTTATATTATACATTAATATCAAATTCAAATAAATTGATAAGAAGGATCTCTTCTTAAGATTAATTTATTAGGGATATTTATTTTAAATCTCTAGATGAAAGCTATATAATATCATTTAAGTTATCTTTTTATGAAACTTTCACTGGGAAAAATAGCTTTCGAAATTAGACTAAATGGAAATGAAGAAGTTTTAGATGTGAAAGTAGAGATGGGTAAATCACAATTGTATTTTGGGATAACCTTTATATTTATGATGAAATTAATAAGAAATAATAGAAGAGATGATTACTTGAAAGCTACAATCAAAATTTTACATATTTTTATCGATTTAAAAAATTAATTATCTTATATAATATACTTTGCCAGGAGTTAAAAACAAGTTTATAAGTTTATAATTAATATTTAGAAAATAATTATAAATTGAAAATACCTGAACTACAATTGAAATCTCCACTTATCTAAATTATTGTTATATCATGAATTTTTATTAATTGATTTGACAAAAAATTTCTCTCTTCAATCTAAATATTTCAAATTTTAATCTAATAATTTTAAATGTTGATTCCCTTTTATCAATAATCATAAAATAATTGTTATTGATACAATAAATTAAAGTTTATGAAGTTAAATTTCTATCTGGGATTCCTTCAATTTTGCTTTGTATTATCTCAAAATACTTGGAGTACTATTTACGCTCTATTACCAGGTTTAAATGGGACAGATAGTATTATTTAGATTTTCTAACTAGGTTGGTTTATGAATAATTTACATGGTGGCCCAATAAGTAATTGTAATGGGTAAGATTTATTTGGAGGTCATGGTGTATTTGGTGCGACTACCTTTCTTTCTTTAAATCTTCAACTTCCACCACATTATTCAGTAAGAATTTCACTCACACTTTGGAAGTATAACATAAGTTGTAATTAGAATTGACAGTTGGGATGCTGAGATTTTCTAATTAATATATGATGATAATGTATATAGTATTCAATTTTGGGGGGGGGTTAAGGAAATAGTTTTTGTGGTAGTGGAGGGAAAAGTTACAAGGAACTCTCTGTTCCCTTAATTTTTACTATAGAATCACACTTTTCCTAATCTCTTGTTTTAATAATGACTTCAAATTTAAATGAGGACCCATACAATGTATGTATTTTTTAATTTTAGGAATCATGGGGGTTTCGGGATTTCATAATTGAAATTTTGTAATGTCCTGAAGGTTGCTTATTTTGCTAAGATTATATATCTGATTGCAAATTATGGAATAATATTGCATCATATTGGCAAAACTCAATTAATTCAGAGGGATGGCTAATTGATAATAATCAATAACTTATTTCAAGTGTTTGTGCTGGTATCCAGATTGCAGGAGGAACTAATATTCTGCAATAAGGACAGAGTATTAAAAAACTCATTCAAAATGTTCCAAAACACTTTAAAATTTAGATAGTTCTTAAACTTTGGGTAATGGGAATTACATAGAGTTAAAATTTTTATTTAAAAATTGATGAGTAAGTTTAAATTATCGTAATAAATGCTCTGTCTGTATTAAATATTGAATGTGTATATTCTCAATTAGTAAATATCAAAAATATAGTCATAAATGCAGATCATTCATCCCCTGAAATAAAATTAGAAATGTATACAGAGAATAATTAATCACAAAGTACATATTGGGGTGTTAAATCATTTGATTTATACGTAGCTTAATGTTCAATTGGTTGTGAAGATTGTAATGGAGGATTAGAAACTTAATGCAGTAATTGTTTAAAAAAATGGGGATTTTTAGATGGTATATGTATTCCAGGTATAAATATATATATATCAATAAGCTCCTCCATTAGAATATACTAATATTAGAATCTATTAATCTTAAGGTTTAAAAACAAATTTTATCAATTAATTTTAATTGTACATTTAGTAATTAGATCAAACTTTTACTGAAATTGGTTAAAAAAAACTAATTATCGATAAGAGGATAACATTTTGCTCTTTTTTAATTTCAGTGAAATGTTAAGAAAAAATTAAAATTGAAAGTTTTTTTAGAAATTGTAATTAATGTGATGATGCTTAAATTCCTTTTTCAAATTATTGTCTTAATGAAAGTAACACTGTAAATTTCAGTGTAATATTGGCAGATACTGTTTAATCTGAAAAAGAATTAATAATTAATATTTCACAAACAAAAGTAGAAATTCTATAAGTAATAATATAGAATGATATTGAAACGGAAGTTCGTATATTGAAAATTGAATTATGATTAATGATTTCATTTAGATTATGTAATATTTATTCGAAAAAATTCATCATTAATTTGATTTTATTAAAATTGTATCATTAATTTTTAGTTTCATAGATTTATCATTACTTAATCAATTGAAGGAAGAAAAATTATACTTGTTAATGTTTTCATAAAATAGAGTAGCAAATACTCAAAATTTTATTGATATTTGTTTAATTTTTATATAGAATTGCTAGGCTCAAATGAGAATATTGTACTTTAGCAAAGTATTCATAAGTCGAAACATATTTAAATAATAAGGATTATTAACTTTTACATAAGTATATAGTTTTAGAAAGTAAACTATATTTACTGAAAATAGGCTTTAAAATACCTTACTCAATTCATATATCCTAAATTATTACTATTATCTGCCTTTGTAGAAATATAATAATTAAATATTATCTAAAATTGGTGAAATGAATAAAATCGAACTTACAATCTGTGAGATAATCATAATGATAGAATGAAATAGATGATATATTAATATGAAGAATAAGTTAATAAATTTGATAATAATATAAAAGTGTGCTATGAAAATAATTTGAAGGGACATATCAATTAATCATACTTTGATAAATGGCTTCGGAAGAAAAATAATAGAATATAATAATAATATTGATATTATATCAGAAAGTATAATAAAGAATAAACTTTAGAAGCTTTAATAAATTCAATAACCCTATTGCAAATGATTATTGATTATTTTCATATCTAGTTTCTTAAAAGGACAAATAAATAAATAAAAATATTATATCATCTCACTTTAACATTGTAATCTTTATTTAGGCATCTCGGCAAAGATATTAAGCAAATATTTTACAATTTTATATAAGATATTTCACATCAAGCTCTAGCTATACTGAAGCCTCATTTGTAAAAAATTACACCCTTTATAGTATCTGAAAGTAGGAACCCTTTTTTATTTGTGAAATATTTTATCAGATGAGCAAAGAATTATTATTAAATACAAATTAAATATTTAAAAGACTTCTTACGTTATCTCTCTGATAAGTAACGAGAAGAAAAGCTCTGGCCACTTATTTTAGTTCTTGATCAAATGATATAGAAAACAACTCTTAACAACTCTTCTTCCATTACAGTATCTGGCATTTCAACCCACCATGGTGCATCGAAAGGTGATTAAGTAGAAAATTATAACTCCCCCCCCTTTGCTATAAAAAGTTTGCCTTAGATTCTCCAAAATTTATTTAGTTTAATTCAGGTTCATCTATTTTTTTATAGATGGCTTCATTAAAATAACATTTCATCCTTTTTGTATTGATTTCCAATTTTTATTTTCTTGATTTCCTTCATCAAGTCACTATAGGCCTTTATTTTCACATTCTACCAGGCTCTAATTTAATCAATTTTTTCTTTGATAATTAATTCCTTTTAAATTAAATTATTATTAAAATAATGTAAAATCTTATCTGTATTTTCTTATATAGTTTTAAGAGAATGATGTTAATCCTATAAACTTAAAATATTCACAATTTATTAAATTGATTTTTCATCTTATTATAAAAAGACGCTCATGTCCATTTATTTAATATATTATGAATCTTCAATAACTTAATTTAGTTAATTATTTAGAGATTACATAATTTCAGTTAGTATCTGATAAGATTATTATTTTAATTGCTAAATTAATTTAATAGCTGTTTTTATTTTAAATTCTCTTTATCTTTAATATTTTGATTGTATTTCATCTTGTTATTCCACAAATTGATTTCATCTCTTACTTGTTTCACTTAATGTAACATATTAAATAGGAATCTCTTAAATACATTTAATACAAGCCAATCTATTCAAGTTTTCATTTTTAGACTTAATTTAAATTAAATTAACAGATATAAATTAATAATTATGTTTAGAACATAATTAATTTAAAGATGATGTTTTCTAAATAATAGTAATAATTTACATATTCTTCAATTTATTTATTTTTTGAATCTTAGCTAATTAATAATTATTGCTCTATATTTTCAATTAATTAATTAATTTAATTAAAAAGTTAAGAACTTTATAATTATATCCTTTATTGAATCAAAAACTAAGATAATTTACTCATATCTATACTTTAAGCAGGAATATTGAACTCTTAAATTTCTTTATAATTTGATGATAGAATTTGAATGTCTTCTTCTAAATTTACGATTTATCCTTATAAATCTGTTGTAATTTAATTCGTTTTAATTTTCTTTTATTTAATGTCCAATATTATCTAATAAATTACTTAGTGTATCCTTAACATGTCACTCAAATTTTGAAGTTTAAATTTAAAGTTATTTCAAATTCTCATTTTTTATTTTATTCAATTCTTATTTATATTTTCTGATTTATTCTTCATGCACATAGGAATTTCTTATTACAAGAAATACTTAAATCTACAGCAATAATCTCATAATTATCATGCGTTTTAACAACATCTCTTGGAAATCTCATCTGGATGTTTCGTTATGATTTGTATTATTAATAATGATAATTTAATGAAAACTATTTATATATATAGTATTTTAAAGATAATAGATTAACAATTATTACTGAAGTATTTTATTAATTAATATCTATTTATGATTATATATATAATTCAATATAATAATAAAGTATTAATGAACATAATGGTTAAGTAATTGGATTATCCATAATTCAAGATAGTAAAAAATTAGTTCTTGTGCTAGAGATTAATAAATTTAATGAAATGGAAAGATCTAATGGATAATTGTGGTATATTAAACAAAATATTTTTGAAAATTGTTATCTTATTCCATTTATAACAACGAATATATTTGCATTTCAACCATGTAGTGGTAAACATTTACAATTCTATACAATTGATCATTCCACTGGATTATATGTAAAATCAAGGAATTCTAAGTTTAAGGAGTTGGATAAGATTGTTAGTAGTATTTTCCCTAAAAATATATATCCACCAGATAACTTACTTTCTAAAAATGAATATTTTGTAAATTTAATATAATTCAATTTTGATTATTAAAATTGGGATTGCGAATTTATAGAAGGTATTGAGTTTGATTAAAGTGGAGATTTTGGAAACATTTTTGGGACAATGAGTGACAATGGAGAATATTTTAACTTGGGATTCTACATCTGGTAAATAGAGATCAGATAATTCACTTATAAAAATGATCTGAATGATCATTAAATTATTAATTAAATTTTTATGTAATTACTTGAATGATACAAA